GCGTTTATGATCGTTAGATGCAAAGAAAAAGCAGTTGAGAATCTGAATATTCCGGAAAACTGTCTACAGGCTTTTATAGATGTGGATGACTGATGACAGTCATTAACCACATTATCAGATTCGGCATCTGTTTGATAAACAGTTTTGGTGCATAGATCATCTGAAGTTGGCAAACCACAGCAATCCTATTTGGGCTTAACTAAGCCAATTCAACTGCATAACACTTATAACCCAAAAAACAAACTTTTTTTAGCACTGGAACCTTTCGTTTTTTTCTATCATAGAAATAACAGCAAACAAAAGAAAATTAAGTTAGTATTTTTTTTGTTTTCTTTGAAACTAAAAAATGCTTTAATGCTTTGCTTTTTTCCTCTTAAATAAATTCTAAAAAGAAATAACTAAAAATCTTTTGCAATAAAATATGGCATAACTTTTTTTTAGAAGTTTTTCTGCTTATTGAAATAAACTAATGGTATAGCCTAATTAGGCTAAGTGGAAACAAACGATGGTAATAAATGTTAAACGCACGAATTGATCAGTTTTACACAGATGATTTTTAACGGATACTTAAATGACTTTCTTTTTTCATCAAAAGAAAACTTGAAAAAAGTTTGCTAAAACAAAATATCAGTAGTTTTCAGGTTATTTTTTACTCGTTGACATAAATTGGCTTTTTTCACTTTCTTATTTTTTTGCTTTGTTATATTTTCAATAACTTGTTTGATAGCAAATTTTTCTTGGTTTTTTTTTTTTTTTTACTTAACCGGTGTATGTCAATTTATTGTTGCACAGATTTATTGACACTCTAAAAATAATAAGGTCAAAAATCAACTCATTATTAACGACAGGCAAATAGGTGTACTCAAATTTGAACGAATAAGCAAAAATAAAATAAAAAACGTTTTTTTATATTTAAGTCAATTCAATGTTTATTTTCCTTAGTGCGTTTTTGTTTCTGACAGGTGAGATAAGTTGGATAAGGAGTAGGAAAGGAGAAACGTCATTGAGGTTGGATGATCAGCGTTTTGCTGGAATAGGCTTTTGTTTCTGCATGAATAAAAACATTGTTCTTGCTTCTTTTTTGTTGACTTCTGAATTCGTGCACCTCTGGTTGTTTGCTATTCAAAGTTAACTAGTGCATCATAGCTTTGGTATGCAAAATTGGTATTGCTGTGGTGGTTGTTGCTTGAAGACACTGATACCAATGTACAGCGTTATTAGCGGTTTGCCTTTGAGATTCAGTGTTAATAACTATTTGGTATTTATATAATTGCAGCATGAAACGTCTTGGATTACATGTAGAACCGGCATTTTCGGTTAGCGATTAGAAACAGATTCCGATATGCTGTAACGCTTCCGCGGAGGCAAAATCGGATGTCAAACGGTTTGCAGATATTAAATAATCCACCACAATCAAGAAAAATGAATGAAGCAACTGGTTGAATAGAGGATTCTTGAATAGCGGAAGTATATAGCTTCAAAGGTTAGACGTCAGTGAGAGTT